GTCGCAGCTCACAGAGACATCCTGCTCGCCAAGGGCACGTGGAAGCAGAAAACTACGATCATGCGCACCCTGATCGAATCCCAGTTTAACTGGATAGGGGGTGCCTTGCATTGGAGTGCTAGCGATCTACATGGACTCAATGTCCTCCAGGCACATGCATGTCGTTCTGCCTTTGGTCTTCGGCGCGCCGGGGGAGAATCCTGGCCAGAATGGAACGCTCGCACAATGCGATTTGTGAGGGTGTGGCTTCACAATAACCATGTCGCCAGGTGGTCGGAACGCATCCTGACGCTCCAGCATATGCTACACGGACACTGGGCTCGTCGTGTTGAATGCGTACAAGGCGTCGCACAAGCATGCCCTCCCCTGAAAGCTCTCCAGTGGCGAAGTACTTACTGGTGGAGGGAACAGCAAGCCTTGACTGCCACAGGACTACGGCACCCAGGCAGGTTCTACGCCTCATGCACGGAACGCCAGCTTGCCGACACTCATGGCCCTCTCTGGGCTGTTCTCGCACAGGATCGTCACAAGTGGGCGACTGAACGAAAAGAGTATATCAGGCAGTGGGACGTTAGATGGGCCAGCGGGCGTCAGCTCACGCTTCGTTACTGAGGGTCGACTTGTGCAGTATGTGAAGCCTCCCTGGCACTGGTGGGCTGAGTTCTGCAGATTTCGGTACTTCCGTCTTTTGGTGTTATGAGCTGTTCTGCTGCTCCTGATTCTCTGGGGCGACCCTCACTCTGCCTCCTCGGCAAACTTCAAGGCACTCGTCATGTGAAATAAAGATGTATTCTATTTTCCTCTCCTGCGGGGTGATCCTCACTTTGCTACTTTCAGGTTTCTCAGAGATTGCAGATGGACAGGCAACTCTATGACCAGCATGCACACACCTGTCGTACATGAGTTCGCGATCCTGCTTGCATTCGTGGCTCGAGGCTTGTGGACAAACCCACCGACCTCGCCCTCTTCCGTGCAATGGCCTGGGGCGGATTCTACATCTTCTACCTGCTCGTCCTCTTCGTGCCGGGGGAGACCACGAACACCCAGACACCCGCCGATGCTCCCGACAGCAGCACGGGCCACAATTCGAATCGTGGCTGGGATGAACAGGAAATTGCAGCCGCCAAAGCTCGCTCCTGGTCTTACGACACATGGACCTCCTCCACGCCGCCCTGGCCAGGATCGTCTGCCTGGGATGAACAGCAAGAGGGTGACAACTCCACGTCACGGCCGTCTGTTGCTCCCACTGGGTCGTTGCCCTGGACTGGACAGTCCGCCTGGGATGACCCTTCGCTGGAAGAGCCGCCTCTGTCTGGGGTGACCGTGCAAAATGCAACGGCAACGACCCTCGTCGGTGCACCTTCTTCCTCCTCTTCGCCAGCTACTTCTCAGGCAGGAACAACTCCACATTTGGCTGGGGTGACTTCCTTGGGATCTACACCTTCAGCGCCTCCCTGTACTACCTGGTCGACGTCTTCTTTAACACCCAGCGGCGCATCGAGTTCTACATGGTCGCCGTCGTCTCCCTCAGCCGGCACATCCGCAGAAGTCTGTGCGTACCTGGCTAGCCGATGGGACGAAGAAGTGTGCTTGGGACTTCAAGAGGAGGAGCTGGCCGGATGGCAGGCAACAAGGATGGAAAATGATGGGGCGTCCCACCTTGCACCCATCCCAGAGGATTTGCCACATCCCTACTTCGGCATGGTCGCGCCACTTCCTCATGCCGAAACTTTCCCACACGGTGATTGGTTGGAGGCGATACAAGATGCTCGACCGCTTCGAGGCAAGGCGCGGGAGGAACAAGACCGTCCACCACATGGCCGGGACCCGTCCACGTTGACGTCACCATCTTGCTCTTCGCGAACCTCACCCACCTGTACCGCACCGACGGGGACCACGCAGAGGGGGCTGAATACACGAACGGGAGTCGACAGATGGCACCATCCGGACGGAAGCGTTAGAAATCGTCGTCAAGAACGGCTACGCCTTGAAAGTCAACCAGCAGCGCCGCCCAACACCGGTGAGGACGGAGTTGACCACACCACCAAGGCCGTCACGTTCTACAGCGACGGGCTCAAAACAAAGGGGAGTCCATTGCCGGGGAGTGAGAACAGTACGACGGCGGGGGACGACTCCACTATCGCCTTCAACAGCAACGCTACGGCAGCAGATGACGCTCAAACCGGCCCCTCATCTAACTCTTCGGCTTCTTCTCGAGTTGGGTTCTGGGCACATGGCGTCTGGCATCCCCGAGAACGCACTGCAGCGGAGCAGAGACTTCACAGGGGTGGAATGGGACCACAGCGAACCCAGAGAAAGCAGGACAGAATGAATGCGTATTGGGCGGGACATTGGAAACCGGCCTGGCTAGTCAAGTACATTGACGACAAGGCTCAGCGCATGCAGTCGACGTCCGCACCCTCGTCATCCTCATCGGCTGGGGTGAGCATTCCTCAACATGCTCCGACAACTTCGTCCGCTTTGGGTTCTGGTACATGGGGTGACCACGCCGCGACTGCTTCCAGTTCCGAAATTGGGGTGAGCTCCTGGACTTCCACTTCCGCCACACAAGTGCAGGGGGACAGTTCTTACAATGGAGGACTCAATACGTCCGCCGAGCCCTCCAACATGACCGACGCGGACCCATGGTCTGGCCAATGGTCACAGTGGTCTGGCAATTCTTGGTGGGACACATGGTCATGGGATGAGCAGTACAATGGGGACGCTTGGACGTGGACTACATCCTCGACTACCTCCGTGAGTGACCTCTATGACTTCCCGCCCAACCATGGGTTGTTTCCAGTTGTTACCCCCGTCGCCCCAGAAGTTGAAGAAGCACTGTTCATGCAGCTCACAGGTGCAGAGCGGCAGACGTTGAGAGAGAATGGGGTTCCAACGGAAGCTATCTCCAGGGTTGCTGAACTATTGGATCGGCTCGACGACCATATCTCCTTCGAAACGGGGCCAGAGGCAAGATGGGCTCTATGCAGGTTGGTGCAACGTGCAGAAGACGGTGTTCAAAGCCTCGAGGCCATTCTGGAGATACTACATCGCCGCCTACGTCCACGAGGCTACCTCCCCGTAGTACGTGTTCCCAGACAGGAGGCCGACAGAATGAGGTTCTTCACCTGGATGAGGCAATACACGACGCTTTTCGTTACCTCGCTGGAGCGCCATTTGTCTATAATGCTGCAACCGGTCGAGGGGCTCGACTCTCCGCCGCCACCCTATGATCGTGTCCGCCCCGACCCTGCTGACAGCTCACTGGGAAGACCTTCCGCGGCATCTGGCAGTGAAGCTGTGGGCGAAACATTGCCTTCGGGGGGTGAAGTGGATGGGAGCACTGCAGTCACCGAGACGAACCATGAGGCAGCGTCATCTTCATCGTCCTCCTCCAGCCCGTCCGTGGCGGTTAGTATCAGAAGCAGATCGCCTGTCAGACACGACACGGCAGCAGGCCCGGAGGTACAAGCGCCTGCTGAAAACCTGGACTACACCCCTGGGACAGAAGTACAGCGGGCCCTTGCAGGTGAACTGATGGGTGTCTGGCAGGATCCCGCTTCTACTACGAGCTCGACGTCCACCACCTGCACCTATGAGGCGTCAGCTCCTCCGCTGACGTCAACATCATCTTCCTCGGCAGCCTCAACATGGACGTGGTCGACTTCGTGCACATCGACTTGGCCGACGGGAAACTGGTCCACCACGTCTACGACATCCACGTCCTCGTCTTCTGCGGCCACGTCAATGGAAGTCATCCGGGACGCCGTTAACCAGGACCTGTGGCATGGAAATGATGCGGATGTGGTGGACCTACTCCGACGGCTACTGGACAGACAACGCGTCCTAAACCGCTACCAGCAACACGTCACGGTGGCGTTGGAGGAGTGCCTAACATGGTTGCGTCGAAGCAGACATGGACTCGCACTCAACGCCGCCACAATGGAAAGTCGCCTGTGGGATGTAATTGGCAGAGAAACAGCCATGGGTGATCCGGTCTCCGTCATGGGGTGCACTGGGCTCACGGAACCACATGTTGCTCTTCTTCATCCTGGATTTCCTGACAGCCTGGAGGACCTGGCGAACACACTACCGGGGGTGGAGCCAGTGACGATAGCAGGACTGCGACGAAGGGCCTGGAGCTCACACGTGAATGGGCTCTATCAAGCCGCTGGTCGAGATGTACCTGGTGGAAGATGGCCGGCCGAGGACGACAGAGACCTCTTTCTGGTCCAGACGAATGCCGATGAAGAGGTGGCAAACTACCCGGCCAATCAAGCTCTACCACCCGATCCTCTTCGACAACGTCAAGTCGAAGGTGTGGCCAGTCGTCGTCGAGGGCACCGGTTTCGAAGGCGACGTGGCTATGGAATGGCGGACGTTCCGGTTCGTCATTGGCCGGTGGGACGAACTGTCTTGCCTGAAGCTCCGACATCGTCCCTGCCTTCGGCTACTGGGGCCTCGTCCTCTCAGGACTTTCCTCAGACGCTGGTGATGGGCAGCGTTGTGGTGCCTGCTGCTGGGATGGCTCGTGGACATGGTGCTCGCGAACGAAGCCGAAGCCGAGACGGTGGAGACGAAGCACACGCTGCAGTTCATTTGGAGGACACGCGTGACGCGGAGGAAGATGAAGATGGTGACTCTGATGAGCTGGCGCGTGAAGCACGAATTCGAGCTGGTCGTCGACAAGGAGGTCCTGATAGCCCCGCCGAACCTGAAGTCCCGGATGCCCCGCAGTGAGTGGTCTGAGCGAATTGTGGTAGGTTACGCGTGACGGTTCTGTGCCACAAAGTTTTCTCTCATGTGTGAATGGCTGTACGTGCCTATCTGTAGTATGAGAGATCAGTGTGTTCTTGAGTGTAAGCCTCGAAAAGAGGCAGGCTTTGCGGAGAAAAGGCCACTGCACTTTAAAAAAAAAAAACCTTAAACCCCTAAACCCTAAACCTAAGGTCCCTAAGCCCCCTACGCCCTTCAACCAAACCCCCGAAAAGCTTGCGAAGGCCGACGACTACAATCTGGCACGATGGGATACAGGCAGCCGGACACGCGGTTGAGGGTTTTGGGTTTAGGGTTTAGGGCTTAAGGGGTGTAGGAGTTCCGAGTTGAGGGTATTTCGGTGGTTCAGGGTTTTAGGGGTTGAGGGCTTGGGTCGTTTCGGGGTGCAGGGCTTAGGTGTTCAAGGTTAAGGATTTAGAGCTTTAAGGTTTCGGGTCTGCTATATGGGTGGCTTTTTTGGGTGTATTACAGTATAGCTGTGTGAGCACTTTCAGGGGAAACAACCCGTAGTTAATCCGAGCCTGGTGTTTATTTTGGTTCCTAGCATGGATTGTATTCAGGGTCTTTGAAGGGTTATAACCCCTAAACCCTAAACCCTAAACCCTAAACCCTAAATGAGATCTATCGGGGGTTGAAAGGTTTAGGGTTCCAGGCTTTAGGCTTTCGGAGTGTATAGGGTGCCTATAAAAAGGCTGAGGGAAAGGTTTCTACAAAGCGTCCTGTAATCAAGGCTTCCTAGTATATATTGGCTTTCTATAAAGGGTTCTAGCAGGGTTCTTGACAGGGTTCTGAAAGGCCTTCTACAGATGACGCAACAACCCTAAACCCTAAACCCTAAACCCTAAACCCTAAACCCTCTAGTGATTCTGGCAGGTTTAGGTTCAGTCAGGGCCTCGGTCCGTTTCAGGCTTTAGGTGTATGCTTTGAGGTTTGGGGTTTAGGGTTTAGGGTTTATTTTTTTAGGGTTTAGGGTTTAGGGTTTAGGGTTTATGCTTTGAGGTTTGGGGTTTGCCCATAGGCCCCCATCGTCGTCCCTTTTGGGGATTGCCTCATAGGATTCTAACTATGGACCCCCAAAAAAATGAACTGCTAGGGGGCCTATGGGTAGGGTTTAGGGTTTGGGGCCAAGGTCTTCGGGGAGTTTGGTTGTTTTGGTTTAGGGTTTAGGGTTTAGGGTTTAGGGCTTGAGGCTTCAAGCCTTGCGTCGCCGCTGCCTTCGCTGTCGGAGGGGAGGGCAAGCCCGAACCCTACATCCAAAGCCGCACACCACCGAATCCCAGAAGCTTGAACTTGCCACGTCATATAAGGGCCTTAATTGTTTTAATAGGGTTTCGGGGAATATTGTACCATAGTTAGAATAAGGAACCCCCCCCCCCCAGAGAAATAGTAGAGGCAATCATTCGGCCCCTACATTAGCAAGTCCAAGAAGGGGATTTCTTGTTCCCAGGGATGAGTTTGCCGATGGAACCTGAAAGCAACAGTAAGGCAAAAAGGGTGGTATCGCGAAACTAGGAGTACTCCGAATATAATAGGGGCCTCAACAAATTTGACAGGGTTCGGGAGCACAATCTGGTATGGTGCTTATTTGGGTGTTATAGCTGATGGGATACTACGGCTAATTTTTCCAACCCGTTATATAAAGCCGTAGAAGACTTCATGTAAACCATAGAAATCGAATTGGATCTGGCGATGCGAATCCCACTTTCAACGGTTAGGGTTTAGGGTTTAGGGTTTAGGGTTTAGGGACTGGGACCCTAGGAAGCTTATTTTGCAGCTGCGGCTTCGGGGCTCAGGGCTTAGGATGTCTGCTTTGTGGCTTCGTAGCGATGGTGGGGCTCGGGGTGCAATATAGGGGTCTGAATAATTGCCTATACCATTTTGGGGGTCCTCATCCTAGCAGTAGGGTAGGTAACCTTTAACCTTTTTGGGGTAGTACAATCCCTATATAACCCCTATATAACCCCAAAGGTTAACCTTTAGTTCCCCATGATACCCGACAAGTAAGTAATCAAACCTAAACTGCCAGACCCTAGCTCAAAGCCGTACCTGGATCAGACATCCTCAATCCAACTTTGGGGCTTTTTCTGCTTGGCTACTATGACTTGCTATTCGGAACAAGACGGTGTAGGGCCTTTAGGGTTTGGGGTTTAGGGGTTTAGGGTTTGGGGCTCTTAGGGGTTTAGGGTTTAGAGGTTTAGGGAGTTTAGGGTTAAGGTTTTCGGGTTTAGGGTTTACGAGTTCAGTCGCCGGCCAACACCCTTTGAACCTGTACATCCCGCAACCCAAGCCCAAACCCCGCTAGACTACGTCCTAAACCCTGAGATCTGATCCAAAACCTTGTGCCCTAACCCCTACACTTAAAAGGGTCAAACCCTAGACCCTAAACTTAAACGGGTCAAACCCTAAACCCTAAACTTAAACAGCTCAAACCCTAAACCCTAGACCCTAAGCATAAAAAGCCCTCACCCGAAACCCCGAAGTCCCGCAAGCCCTAGTCCTTTTGCCGGTCAGGCCGGGTGACTAACGGTTTAGGGTTTAGGGTTTAGGGTTTAGGGTTTAGGGGTCCTTTTGCCGGTCAGGCCGGGTGACTATAGCGACATCGTTACCTCAGCGGAAGCTTTGTTGCAACAGCACTCAGGTACAAGGGAGCTTGTTTAGGCGTAGGTTTGGGGTTTAGGGCCTGTCAAGTGTAGACCAGTGTTTAAACCATAGGCTAGTATTCTCAGAGTGTTTGGCGGGGAGTTGTAGACAAGTGTAGGTATCTTGGCAGGCATCCAGTGTAATTAGTAGTTGGATCTAACAGAGCGGTTTGTCTTCGCGAGACAGACGAGAAGTTAAAGACGAAGGATGTGCTGGTCAGGAGCCTAACTCATACACGGAGTAGTTCTGACTTTGGGAACTTAGCAGTAAGTAGCCTTCGTGCTGCAAGCCCGACCCCGAAGGTCCTTAGAGGAGTGTGGTTTAAGGTCTGTGGCCAGGTCAAGAGGACGCCCCAATACACGGCTAGATAACCGTTAACCATTGGCTACAACCCTAAATAGTTGGTTATGGTTATGCCCCCTTCATCATAAAATATAGCCGGTTTTTGATCCCCAGGTAACCCCGCCTAAGACGTTTCAGAGTTTACAGCTCTTGCGATATGTGGCTTCATGGGAAGCGCCCCCAAAGACCTCTAACATCCTACAAACTGCGAGAGTTGCAGACGAAAGGCCTGAGGTTGTTACCGAGACCCTAGACGCATCAATAAGCCCTAAACCCTAAACCCTACGCCCTAATTAAACCCAGACCCATGAGGCCTAAATCCTAAACCCCAGCCCTGATAACCCTTCTGGACCCTTCATGGATCCTACACCCTAACCCTAAACCGACGGAAAGGGACCTGTGTGTTCAGCGGCCACGATTGCGCGCCTATGCAAAACCTTCTGCGTTTGGGGTTTAGGGACACCGGACCAATGTTATGCCATAGGTTCCTTAAACTGATTAGCATACTTCTGCTCGTAATAAAAGAGCCTGAATTGATGAGCAATATGATGCACTACAGCTCCTTGCTACCAGTTATCATATACACCACAACCCTCCCTGATGGTTGAGTCACGGGTGGTAAGCTGAGTCATGCTATGTTCAAGCTTTCTGGTCTGCTTTGGGGCTTATTAAACTTAAACATGCTGTAGGGCTTAGGGTTTAGGGTGTAGACCACCGATCCGCAGACCACTCTGCTAAGAGATCCTACTCACACTGTCACGGAAGATGGCGGTGTGTTTACTGTTTACAAGGGAGCCTCCTGATAACATACCCACAGGGTCCATGCACGTAATACTCATATACCACCCTAAATACTATGCACCATGTCCATCAGCATTTCTACTACCCAAATCCCACTAAGTACCTTGGGCGCTTTGGGCTAAGCCACAACCCAGGAGGGGCTGCACCTCCTTCAGCGCATTGCCTGACGCACGGGGAGCGGAATGCGCCGAATGTGGCACCTGTTCGGGTCTTGGGAGTTCAACGAGTCTTCTCTGGAGGCGAAACAAGTCCTGTGGGTAGTTGTCAAGATTATGGGCCCTATTGGGGTACCCTAAATAATAGGTGCCGTACTATAATAAGGACCCAAAAAGGGACCATGATTTTGACAACCGCCCATGTATGTATGTGGTGCAACAGCGAATGCCTTCTGAATTCTATTGTCAGGATACCGAAAGCTGTTCGTGTTTCTAGTTCCCAAGAGCGATGTATGTATGATGCGGCCTCTGCATTCGCCCGTGGTCCTGAAGACTTCAGGATCAGGTGGCAGATTCGGTGCGCTGATGCGAGATCTCCTGCAGCTGTCAACCTTGTCCGTTGCGCCTGAAAAACAACCTCCCGCCTCAGCAGCAAGGCTTCTGCTACTGTCGATGATATCAATCTTGCATTACTTTAAGGGCCCTAAACTATGGGACAGTTATGGTACATTCCTTATTATGGGTAATGCAGGATTTGTATTATCAACCGTAGGTTCTGGGTTCATGAGAGCTCAAACCATGGTCAGGGCTTCTCGAAAGGCTCAGCTCGAGTTTAACCGAGCATCCATGAAGGGTTTAGGGTTTAGGGTTTAGGGTTTAGGGTTTAGGGTTAAGGGTCTAGTAATGTTCAGCTACCATAACCCACATGTTTGGCTCCTTTCATGGCAAGCTCTGTGCATATTTTACTGACCTAAGTCGTCTTTTCAAGTTGACTGACTACTCTACTAAACCCTGCAACTGGAGTGTGAAGCCAAATTCCTACATGCACCCCGCACCGTGAAACCTCTGAAGCAGAGGATTCCTGTTCAAGCGGTTTAGCATTTAGGGTTTAGGGTATAGGGTTTAGGGGTTTAGGGATTGAAGGTTTAGGGTTCAGGGTTGGTTGGCTGATCGGCTGATTGGCTGATCGGCTGATGCACGGTCTTGGGCCCAAAAGCCACACACGCTGTTATAGTAGAAGTAGTATATAGCAATGCCCCCGCGTGAAGAGCTGTATAAAAATACAATTAAAAGTAAGTTGTATTGAAAGCCTATTAAATTATCTCTCGTTCCTCAGACCCTTCGCGACGGTGCAGTAAGTAGGGTGTAGATTACTAAAGTTCTCAAACTCTACCTATAGACTCCATTGTAGTTCCTTGCTGATATACAACTGGTTATGGTACACCCCAAAATTCCCAAAAAGTTGGAAACCGGATTAAAGGACAATTAGTGCTGGGATTCCCTATACATTACTCTTGAGGATTGAGGCTATCGGGTTTC